AAAAAAACGTGCTCCCCAGAACTTCTTTTATAACAGACTTGCGCTACTCCACATTACTCATCAAGTGTCCGTATGAAACTTTCGTCTGCCCTCTTCGCATTAAGAAAAGGGCAATGACATGACTATGAAATAGTAAACATACATTAGCAAGTAAAAACGAATTCATTTCTGAATTAAAACAATGTTCGCCTACACTAAGTTGGTACGAGTATTTAACATGAGTAAGAGAGGTGAGTGGCTTGACTTAAACTTAATGCAATTACATTAATGTAGTGACTTAAAAAATCCGCTGATTGTTACAAGCGAAAAATGTTAAATCAACAAAGTCAGGAAGCCAGAAATCTGCTAAATACGCTACACGTGCCCAAATAAGCTATAAATTTGGTGTAAAAAGGAAAAGATAAAAAATCGAATAAATAATAGCAAGTCGATAGCAATGAGAAGCCACACAAAATCATACTCAGCATGGGCGAACAACAGACTTTCTTTTAATGGCTCCACGCTGTCTGATGTAAGGCTTATTGAAACAAAAAAAAAACCTAAAAGATGCTGGGCTGGCATTTTGAAAGTGGCCGCGGGCAAGACTACAGTTTTTTTTTAAGTATCCTTGGTTTGAGATATCTTTTTTTTATAAGAATGTATTTAAAAAGTGAAATTCAATAGTAAAATGGAGAGTAAATATGTACTCTTGTTCAATAAATGTAACCATGACCAGCTACGCTCACCAACGCACTTACTAAAGATCCCCGCAAGGAAAATCAGAACTAGTGAATCATCCCTGCAGGAAATGTATCTAACTATAGGTTAACTTGAAGTTGATTAGGAAAGAACTATAGGTCACTATTATCAGTTAATTTTCTTAGAGGAAAGCTAACTATATTTCTGTGGCTGCAGCATTGATCCGGATCGACTCGTTAATTCGGAGTTACCTCGTGAATCAACTACAGTTTATTCAGATTAAGTCCTAGAGTTAATACTCAAACTTAACTCGGATCAAGGAAATATTCGATGACAACACTGACCAAAACTCAGAGAGCGTAGAGTACAGAGTAAGTGCAAAACTAGTATGGACATATACCTTTTAATCGGTACTGTAGTCACCATACTAATTCAGATAGGAATCCAATTAAAATTGAATAAGAACTTAATTGAATGAATGCGCTGACTGCATTACCGACTACAAGGTGGTAGCCGACCACTTCATCCGCGGTAGCCGAGTGGTAAGGGCTGCGGACTATCGGATCGATCTTCGGTTGGAGCGATTGCCAAAAAAAAAATAATTTTATTTGATTTATAAATTTAATTGTGCTATATTTTATTTTCGTTTGTTTTATTTTATTTCACATTTTTTTATTATAAGTTAATTTCAATGAATATTCTACGACCTCGCGGCTCGTAAATCCGCATTATTGTCGTCTGCCAAGGCACAATTCTGATCAGATCAATTGCGGCCTTCATCCGGATCAACGTTGCCGTCGTTTTATTTAGATATAAAATATCAATAAGAAAAACAAATTATAATTTTTTTTTTTGCTTTTTTATTTATTTACTTTATTTTATTATATTTCATATTTGTT